CATTTCGGACAAATGGCTGTCCATTCTCTTCTTAAAGACTTCCAATGTTGGAGCATTCACCGCTTCTGGAGGCAGGCTTCTGGAGGCAGGTTGTTCCACTGTTTAATTGTTCTAACTGTCAGGAAGTTTCTCCTTATTTCTAGGTTGCTTCTCTCCTTGATTAGTTTCCATCCATTGCTTCTTGTTCTGCCTTCAGGCACTTTGGAAAATAGCTTGACTCCCTCTTCTTTGTGGCAGCCCCTGAGATATTGGAACACTGCTATCATGTCCCCCCTCGTCCTTCTCTTCATTAAACTAGACATACCCAGTTCCAGCAACTGTTCCTTATATGCTTTAGCCTCCAGTCCCCTAATTAGGTTAGTTCATTACAAAATGTTTGATCCAAAGAAATTCTGAAGATCCTTATTATCAGATGTAACAGTCCTGGATTTTTCTGATAAAATGAAGCATTAGACTGATTGGACCCTGCTTATCTTTGGAACTTATTTTTTACTTTCAAATGCATCTCAATATTTTATATAAACTTTCATATGGTATTAGTGAAGGAGCTCACTGGCTGGAGAAAATGCATCTGGGTTTGGTAGAGGAAGGATAAACTGTAATAATCTAACATAATTACAATGTTCAAAGACTTGTCCATAAGGAATGATATAATGTTTATATTTTACTATAACTTTAGTAAACTTTAGGGGAAACAAAACAAAACTTAATTATATATATATTTATATGTGTGTGTGTGTGTGTGTGTGTGTGTGTATAATGTTGATTTTTCTCATTTTACCATTGATATTTAAAAAGCAATGTGATGACTGGGTTAATCAATAGTTCAATAGTGTACATAAATCTTTAGTATAAATATCATGTTACAACATCAAATATTTCCTCTTTTTCCATTAATATCTGTTATCTCATATTGAGCTAGTACAATTCTTATTGTTATCAACTAAATAAAAACATCTTTGTTACAGTTATCAATAATTTTAGCTTATACATATCTTAATTGCATTTGCACTTAATCCTTGTATACAATCAATGTCCTGTTATTGCTTTTTTCAGGCTTTAATTTCCCATCAATATTCAAAACACTATTATTTATGATTTCCAAGTATTTTATGTTTAGGTGACCAAAAGTTTCCCTTATCTAAACTTCTCCCTTTTTCCCTTTTCATACCAAAGTCTAATATTCTGGTTACACATCTTATCTATTTGATTATAATATTGCTCTGTTTTCTAAAAGTTATCTATTTTCCACCATGTTCAAGCATCTAATTGATAATACAGTATCCCCTCTAATAAATCAAAACCATTATAGGTGTTGTCTGGGTTAATCAATAATTCAGTAATATATATACATTTTTAGTTTAAGTCTAATATTAGAACATCAAATACTTCCTCTCTTTTTCCATTAATACCTGTTACCTCATATTGGGCAAACACAATTCTTATTTTCAACTAAGTAGAAACATCTTTGTTACATTTATCAATAATTTTTAGCCTATACATATCTTAATTGCATTTGCGCTAAATATCCTTGTATGAAAAATGTCCTGTTATTGCTTTCCCCCCCAAACTTTAATTTCCCATCAATATTCAAGAAAACACTATTATTTATGATTTCCAAGTGCTTTATGTTTATGTGACCAAAAGCTTCCCTTATCTCAACTTCTTCCTTTTTCCCTTTTCATACCAAAGTCTAATATTCTAGTTACACATCTTATCTATTTAATTATAATGTTACTCTATTTTCTAAAAGTTATCTATTTTCCACCATATTCAACCATCTAGTTGGTAATATAATATCCCCTCTAATAAGTCAAAGCCATTATTTTTTTCAGCCTTACTCTGGCTTTCTTCCTTTGCGAGCTAACCTTCCATGGCAGTGCCTTTGAATCATCAAATAGTTCTCCCTCTATTTTATATATATATATTATTTGGAATAAGAAAGACCATTTGGTTAAAGTTTTTTTTGGGAAGAACAAACCCATTGGTATTCATTAAACCACCTCCCTGTTACGGGCAGGGGAAATGTTTAGGGAATGTGGATGGGCGGAGTTCCCCCCCAAAAATACTCTATCTAAATTGTCTTCCTCATGCCAAGCAACTTTCACAAAAATAGAAATAAAATTTTGGGGTGATTTAATTGCCTTGGCTTGGCAAAGAAAGAAAGAAAGAAAGAAAGAGTTAGATTTTTAAAAAACAGAGGATTTGATCTATCAGAGGGGGCACTATCTGTTTAATATGAACATGAATATGATTAAAAGAATGGATGACCCTTAGATATAACTAGATTTTTAGAATGGAAGATATGATTTAGAAATAAAATAGCATTCTTTTTTTCTTCTTTTGATATGGAAAATTTGAAAATAAGAGGAGGATTAGTATGAAAAAACATTTTAGCTATATAAATATAAATAATATTGAGAAAATCATAAATTACGAAGATACCTTAAATATTGATGGGAAATTAAACTTTAATAAGAGCACGAAAAACAGGATATTGACTTATGAATTGATATTACTGTTATTTGTATAATATTAGTAAATTATGATGAAGATGTCTATAACTAATTTTGTATACATCAATAGTACCAAGAATTGTAATTGTCTAATGAGGGGAAAATGGAAAAAATATGGGGAAGAAAGGAGGATCAAGGAAAAAATACTGGATTGTGCAGTACTGAATAGATTTATATTGAAGAAGTTAATGTTAAATAAACCCAGACAACATGTTGTTTACTAAGCTCTAAAGACTGTAATTTTTTTAAAAAAATCAAACTTATAAAAAGAAAAAAAAGAAATTTGAGACTCTCCCTGGTATTCTTTCTAAGATGAGCATGACTGGCCAAAGCTATAGCAGCTGTAATGCAGTCCATGTCATAATGCATGCTTTACATAAAACTCTTTCATTGAAATCAACATCAAAATTTATAAGAGTAGAGGTAGACTGGATCACCGAGATGTGCATCCATGGAAGGTAGCATTTGAGTAATGAAATATCTTGCAAGAAAGCAATCAAAGATTCCTCATTTCAACCCTGAGCGACAACTATTCTTCTTTAATATACTATATCCCAAGCAGGAGAGCACAATAACTTTATGGCTCTGAAATAGAGATAGGAACCCAAACTTGACTGGAAAACATTACTACAACTCCTATGTTTATCACACCTGATTCAATTATTAGATCATTTAAGGTATGTTCAGGTCTGCTAAGAAAGGGAACATTTTAGTGACTGGTCCTATCTATTATACAGACTGTTTTCTGTAGGAGCCCACTTCATCCTGACATAAGCACAAAAATGTGCTTATTTCTACCTAACTCCTAACTCCTAACTCCTAACCTACTTGCCATTGATGTCTCAAGTTAAAGAGAGATTGAACAACTATGTTTCTTTTTCCCTTGTGTAACACAGAGTGTCTTAAGTTATAACCTAGCAATTATCTCCATCTTGGCAAACTCATACGACACTAACACTTTCTGGAAGCTTACATTAACTGCTGTATCTCTTTGTAGTTCCAATCTGAAGCTGTCAGATCTTTATGAAAAGTATCTGAAGCCACTTAAGACAATGTGGTATATCCAAGCTAATGATGGATGGCACTATTGATGTATGAAATCTGAACTACTTTTTGATGGAATGGCAAAAATATTTCTGTTGCTTCTGCTCATACTGTGGTTGCAGCAGCATTCAGCTGAATGCAAAACTCTGAATGCTATATGTATGATTATTGAGCCCATCCAGATACTGAATGAATATTGTCAGATGGGGGACTTAATTATAGGAGCATTTACAACTCAGTATAACTGTGTATTTGAGACATCATCTTTCAATGAAAGTTTCAAAATGAAACCTTTATGCGACCTTGTGTATGGATACTTTTTTTCTTTTTTAAAGTTGAAAACACAAATAGACAAAAATAATATTTTTACAGCTTTCAATGGAATATTCAGCAAACTACATCAGTCTTGTTCTATATTATGAGCTGGATCAATGAAGTTTAACTATATCAAACTTATTGTTAATCTTAATTTTGATACCATACACTTTTCCTTTATTTCCCATATATTTCTTTCTATCTTGTCCTGTTAAGCAATCTCATTTTTCATCATAAGTTTCAAGTTTCACCTGCTATTACCCTGGCTCTTGACTATTCTACCCTTTGTTATTGTTGTTCATTTTCTCATAGCTTTATACTCTATTTTTTTCCTTCGTCTCACCCAGCATTCCTTTTAATCTATTTTATTCTTTCTTGCTTATGCTGTAGATTTCTCTGCAAAGCTTATCTGAAATTCTCAGGTGATGTTACTGAAATGAATATAGAGGGATTTTTTTGGCATCTGAAAATTTAACACATTTCCTATTTCAAAATGTATATGAATCTCCAAGAAACAATATATGAGAATAAATGTGCACTTTATATTGACAGGAAAAGAAAACTTAGCATCAGAGCATACTGAGTCATTTATGTTATGTATCTTATTTCTCAGGACATTCAGTAACAACCTGTGAAGCAAATGTGTAATATATAGGGTGGGAAGACAATACAAATATAATTGCAATCTTTACGTATTTATATATTAGAAAAAATGAGTTGTAGAGCTTCGATAATGTGGATTACTAATTATACACAATTTTATACACAGTAGACATACATTAGGAAAAAGGATTTTCAGTTATTTCTCTATATTCAGGGTTAAAAAAAACTTTTTAAGGATTTTTGAAGAGGAGAGGAGAGGCATATACATTGACATTTTTATAAATAAGGAAGAACTTATGAATAACTTATCCATATAGATTGCCCTCTAATCTTGCTAAAATTCAGATGTCAGTCTTTACTTAGCTATATGAACTAAGACTGCTTTTGGCGATAACATAGATTTTCTCTGTATAAATTGACATAACACCAAACAAATGGTTCCATAAGCAATGATTGTATTTTTTTCATAACGTTAATTCTGCTTTCAGTTTGAAGCTGAAGAACTACCAGCATGTCCTGACCATGGCATTTGCAGTGAAAGAGATCAATGAGAATTCCCAAACGTTACCAAATGTTACCCTGGGATTCTACATCTATGACACTTATTCCAGTGCAAGGATGACTTATTACAATACTTTGAAGCTTCTTTCCACTTGGAAAAGGACCATTCCTAATTATATCTGTGAGAAGGCAAAAAAAATGATGGCCCTGGTTGGGGGATTAGACTCTTCCATTTCCTTCTACATGGCTACTCTCACAGAAGTCCATAAAATTCCTCAGGTAAACACAATGACTGCTTCACAAAGCATTTCCACATCCTATCTTTTTATTTGTAGAAGACAATTTTCAGATCAGCTGCTTCATTTAGATGATTTGACAGAATATGCACTCTTAGAAAAGCCAAAATAAAACTAAAATTTGCATGTATATAATTTACATTTAAATCAAATATGATAAATACAATTGTGATGATGTCCTTATAGGTTTCAATAATTTTCCATTCTGAAACAGTAAACATGACATTTTCCTAGCTGGTCTTGAGGGCCCCATGCAGCATTGCATCCTCTAGTTGTCACTTTTCTATTGTTCTCCCAAATGTTACTGCCTCAATACTTTCATGGGAGAAATGTATGCCTGTATCAAAAACAGATGTCTTCTATGCAATGTCATTAAATATAAAGGGATTGAAGATATTTGATTATTTTACCATATGAAATATTTTTGCCATAGAGCAAAGATTGGGTAACTCATGAGAATACTAAAAAAAAGTCTTTCAAAAATGGACATCCTTTGAAATATCTTGAATATCTCCACTCAAAGAAGATGAAGGATTTTCAGAATTTATTCTAAATGGTTTATTCAGTGGAGTGGCTAATCATGTTACAATAATTGCCCAAAAAAGAAATAAAACCATGACTAATATTTGAGAAAATTCATGTTTATCTTTTTTTTTTTTTGGGAAGATTGCCTATTCTGTATTTGCTCCAGTGATGAATGCTAGAAAATTTCTCCCTTTCTTGTATCGAATTATGCCAAGTGATGCAGTTCAATATTCAGGAATTGTACAACTTCTTTTGCACTTCCACTGGACGTGGGTTGGGATCATTGCAACCAATGATGATGATGGAGAAAGGTTTGTGCAGACCTTAACTCCATTGCTCGCTCACCATGGCATCTGCCCAGCCATTATTGCAAATATACCAACATTATCTCATTATTTAAACTACTATGACTTATTGATGCACACCTCACCTGAATCCATGTTATTAACCTCATCTGAAGTTAATGTATTTGTTCTACATGCAAACCATAGAACTATAACATGTATTAAATGGTTGATTTATATGTATGACTTATTGGAAGGCAATAAAACTAAATCAGTAAATAAAATCTGGATTATGACAGCCCATTGGGATTTCTCGTCAGACATTTTGCAGAAAAGTTTTGATATGATGTTGTTCCATGGTGCCTTATCTTTTGCAATTCACTCCAAGGAACTGCTGGGATTCACTCATTTTCTGCAGGGATTACGTCCTCATTCAGATAATAATGACAAATTTATCCCGATATTCTGGCAACAGGCATTTGGCTGTTCACTTTATGGTGATAATGGAAAAGAATGCACTGGGGAAGAGAAACTGGGCCATTTGCCAGGGGTTCTTTTTGAAATGAGCATGACTTCTCAGAGCTACAGAATTTACAATGCTGTTTATCTCTTAGCATATGCTTTGCATGAGATTTACAAACCCAAGCCAGAAACAAGAGCTGTATTTAATAGATATCGTCTGACTTTTCTGAATCTGAAACCTTGGCAGGTAATGTATTTTTTTTTTTTTTTGCATTCTCCAGTATTTATTGCAAATGTGCATAACATATTTTAGTATATTCATTACCAAAGGCAAATGCTAATATATTTCCATACTAAGACATATCAATCTCTTTTTGCAATCTCTGTTTGCTCTATTAATCTTGAATAGTTTGTTGATTGTATCTCTACTGAATCTATCCCTTAATTTAACTTTGTAAAAAAAGAAACAACATAATATAGACTATCCATTTTCCTTTAAAAAAAATGGATTCTAGATCTGATCCTTTTGAATAGGACTATCCCTACTGTTAGATGAAGAAATACAGCTTCTCCAAGTAATTTATATTCAGAAGGCACCATGAAAGAATTTTGGTAAGAAATATATTTTATGTTAGCCTTAGCCTATATGTTTTTTGGAGCCTACTATTGTCAGACTACAATAGCAGATGCCAGTATAAAATTAATATTCCGCTTCTTGACTAATGGTGTGTTCAGCTACCTCTGCCTTCCCAGGCAAGGATTTCAGTACATTATAAATCTGTAAAACTATAAATGTTAAACTTGTATGAATGAATTCCTAAGCAGAGATAAAAGGAAGAATAATGTAGCGGAAACAGTGATTTGAGCAAAATGCCTTCATCTCTGTAGATTCACCCCTTCCTGAGGAGCATCACTTTTAATAATAGTGCTGGGGATATTGTGTCTTTCAATGAAAATGGTGAATTAACAGCTGGATATGATATTCTAAACTGGGTTATTTTCCCAAACCAATCATTTGCAAGAGTGAGAGTAGGAAAGATGGATCCCCAGGATAAAGAACTCATCATTAAAACAGATACCATCACATGGCATAGTTCATTTAATCAGGTATGATGCAGTTTGACTTCAGAAATGTCAGGTTAGCTGAGAAATTCTCTTAAAATGGCTTTTGACAATCTTGCCTTATCTTCTTTCAATAATTTCAGTCAATAGCACCTCAAAATGATTTATTATCACTGACATTAAGCTTCTCAATCTGTTTACGTCACCAACTCTAAAACACATCAAATGAAAAGAATTTTATTCCCAGATGATAGTTTGAAAAGTTAACTGTTTTAAAAAGACTCCAGATCTTAAATTCCCTTTTTATTTGAACATATATTTTCATCTGTTCATATCCATTTTGTTCCTTTTAAAATGCTTCTTTATTTCTTTATTTGTTTGCCACCCATTTCACCTCAAAGTCACTCTGGACAGCTTACAACATTAAAATGAAAACCATAAATATATTATTATTATTATTATTATTATTATTATTATTATTATTATTATTATTATTATTATTATTATTATTATTATTATTATTATTATTATTATTATTATTATTATTAAAGTTGGAAGGGACCTTGGAGGTCGAGTCCAACCCCCTGCTCAGGCAGGAAACCCTATACAATTTTGGACAAATGGCTGTCCAGTCTCTTCTTAAAAACTTCCAGTGTTGGAACATTCACTGCTTCTGGAGGCAGGATGTTCCACTGATTAATTGTTCTATCTATCAGGAAGTTTCTCCTTAGTTCTAGGTTGCTTCTCTCCTTGATTAGTTTCCATTCATTGCTTCTTGTCTTGCCTTCAGGCGCTTTGGAAAATACCTTGACTCCCTCTTTTTTGTGACAGCCCCTGAGATATTGGAACACTGCTATCATGTCCCCCCTCGTCCTTCTCTTTGTTCAACTAGACATATCGAATTCCAGGAAATTTTTCTTATATGTTTTAGCCTCCAGTCCCCTAATCATCTTTGTTGCTCTTTGTTGCTCTCTGTACTCTTTCTAGAGTCTCAGGATCTTTTTTACATCGTGGTGACCAAAACTGAATGCAGTATTCCAAGTGTGGCCTTACTAAGGCATTGTAAAGTGGTATTAATATTTCACGTGATCTTGATTCTATCCCTCTGTTAATGCAGCCTAGCACTGTGTTGGCTTTTTTGGCAGCTGCAGCACACTGCTGGCTCATATTTAAGTGATTGTCCACTAGGACTCCGAGATCCCTCTCACAGTTACTACTATTGAGCAAGGTACCCCCTATACTATACCTGTACATTTGGTTTTTCTTGCCTAAATGTAGANTTGAATTTCATTTTGTTAGATAGCGCCCAGTGTTCAAGTCTGTCCAGGTCCTCCTGTATCTTAAGCCTGTCTTCTGGAGTGTTGGCTATTCCTGCCAGCTTGGTGTCATCCGCAAATTTGATGAGTTCCCCATCTATCCCCTCGTCCAAATCATTGATGAAGATGTTGAAGAGCACTGGGCCCAGAACAGAGCCCTGGGCCACCCCACTACTCACTTCCCTCCATGTAGATGTGGTTCCATTGAGGACCACACGCTGAGTACAGCCAGTCAGCCAGCTACGGATCCATCTGGTGGTGATGCTGTCTAACCCAGATTTTTCTATCTTATCAAGTAGTAGGTTGTGATCTACTTTATCAAATGCCTTACTGAAGTCCAAGTAAATTATATCCACAGCATTCCTCTGATCCACTAATTTTGTCACTTGGTCAAAGAATGTAATAAGGTTTGTCTGGCATGATCTATTTTTGAGAAACCCATGTTGGCTTTTAGTAATGACTTTGTTTGCCTCTAGGTGTTCGCTGATTCGTTGTTTGATTATCTTTTCCAGAATCTTCCCAGATATTGAGGTCAGGCTGATAGGTCTGTAATTTCCTGGACCCATTTTTTTCCTTTTTTGAAGATGGAAACTACATCAGCTCTTTTCCAGTCCTCTGGTAGTTTCCCAGTGCTCCAAGATCTTTGAAAAATATAGTTCAGTGGTTCTGAGATCACATCTGCCAGTTCCTTAAGAACCTTGGGGTGTAATCCATCTGGTCCTGGTGATTTGAACTCGTCTAGGCTGGACAGGTGCTCACTTATCATTTTCTTGCCTAGCTTAACTTGTGTTTCTATACTGTTTTTTATGGCACTATTTTTGATAGGTTGGTCTGTTTTTTCCCTTTGTGTAAAGACAGATGCAAAATAACGAGTTAAATAGTTCTGCTTTCTCCCTGTTGCTAGTCACCTTCTTACCACTTTCCCCCACTAATGGACCAATCGTTTCCTTCACTTTTTTCTTGTTTTTTACATGTTGAAAGAAGCTTTTTTTGTTATTTTTGACTTTGGTCACAAGCCTTAGTTCATTTTGAGCCTTGGCTTTCCTCACTTCATCTTTGCAGGCTCGGGCTATTTGTTGATATTCTGATTTAGTTATGTGCCCCTCTTTCCACTTTCTATATTTGTCCTTTTTATCTTTCAATTGTCAGCGAGTTCTTTATGCAGCCATTCTGGTTTCTTTTGAGAGCTGTTATTTTTCCTTTTTGTTGGTATTGAGGTAGACTGGGCTTCTATTATCTTGCTTTTCGAAATTTCCCAAGCTTCTTGCATTGTTTTCCCCTGGAGGATTCTCATCCATGGAATCTTTCCCAACCCCTCTCTAAGTTTATTGAAATTAGCTCTCTTGAAGTCCAAGACTCTAGTTGACTATGTTCTATTGCTTGTGCTTCCATAATGTTGAATTCCAATATTGCATGATCACTACCTCCCAAGGTTCCTGTGGCTTCAACACCTTCTATCATTTCATCTCTGTTAGTGAAAATTAGATCCAAAATGGCTAATCCCCTAGTTTCCTTCTCTACTTTTTGGGAGACAAAGTTGTCTGCTAGGTTTGTCAGGAATCTGTTTGATCTTCCACTTGGTGCAGAGTTTGTCTCCCAGTTGATGTCAGGGTAATTAAAGTCCCCCATTACTATGGTGATGTGCTTCCTATATACCTTAGTTAGCTGACTAGCAAAAAGTTCATCTATTTCTTCTGTTTGGTTGGGTGGCCTATAGTATACACCTATGGCAATGTCATTTTTTCTCTCTTTTATGTTGACCCAAATGCATTCAAGACAGTTTTCGTCATTTTTGTGTTCTATTTCTGTGGAGATGTAGTTATTTCTTATATAGAGAGCAACTCCACCTCCTCTTTTATTTGATCTGTTTCTTTTAAATAATTTAAATCCCTCTAGCTGTGTGTTCCATTTGTGGGTTTCATCCCACCATGTTTCTGTAATGGCAACAATATCATATCTGCCCTCATTGACCTTAATTTCTAGTTCACCCTTTTTGCTGTTCATACTCTGTGCATTGGTGTATAGACATTTGAGTCCTTTATGACCGACCCTGTGTTTACTTTCTACATAACCTGAGTGGTGCCTGAGTTCCCCTATTGTCTTACCACCTATTTGGTTAGTGGACTTTGTGTGGCACCCGTTATTAAAAGCTTGATTTTGCTTGACAGCAAGGTTGGTATTTTTGTCCACACACATATCTATGTTACATGCACTGATAGCCCTATTGTTTTTAGATTGCTGGGGACAGGGATGCTCTGTATCGATTAACTCACTGTCCCTGCTGTTTAGTTTAAATATTCCTCCAGAATATCTGTGAATTTATAGCCGAGTAATTCAGTCCCTTTCTTTGATGGATGCAAACCATCTCTTTTGTACATTTTGTCATGGGACCAACTACTGACATCATGACTAATATATCCAAAGCCTTCCCCTTTACACCACTCCTTTAGCCACATATTGAATTGTGCTATATGCTGGCCTTTTCCGTTTTGATCTTTATGCACTGGTATAACCTCAGAAAAAGTAAGTCTATAGCCTGTTCTGCTAAGTTCCTGCCCCAAGCTCTGGAAATCGTTCTGCACAGAGAGTACATCTTTTTGGGACAGATCGTTAGTGCCAAGATGTACAATAGCCTCCACATCACAGTCCTTGCTGGCATTCTTGATTATTTTAGAAATATGCTTCTTGTCCCTACTGGCAGTAGCACCTGGAAGACATCTGACCTCTTTCAAAACCTCTGTGTCCTTTCCTAAATTTACATCCCTTATAACTGAATCACCAACCAGAAGGTGGCTTCTCTTTTTGGATGCCTTTCTGTTCTTGCATGACTGGTGTGTAATACCTGATTCACGCTTCTCCCTGTCGGAAACAAGTTCTTCATCTCGGTCCACGATCCCCTGCTTATTTTAGTTATCATCACAAATACCTTTACCTGTCTTCTTAATTTTCCTATTAAGGTCAGCAAGGGTGTTCTATCTGTTGTGCAAGGACACAGCGAAGGCTTTGTGTTTATGTTTATAAATAAGTATATAAAAATTACTATAAAATGCCAAATATATCTAAAAGTGGGGACAAGAAAGAAGAATATATGGGGTGGGTGGAAACCGCTATTAGTCAATTAGCTACCTCCATATGAAATTTCCCCATCAGGCTCCAAGCCTACTGGTAAAGTCAGGTCTTCAGGCTTTAGAAACCAATATCACTTGTTTTTTATTTTATTTTACTTATATTTATTTATTATATTTATTTTAATTATGCTGGATTTCAGGGAAGTACGCCTATTTGATATTCAGGCATGACCTCAGATGACATTAGGAAAAATTGCAGAGTTAATGACGTAGTGCTTATCCAATAGGAGTTGTCATCTAAATTCTTTCTTTTGTGGGTAGGTGCAACCACTTTCTCTCTGCAATGAGAACTGCCAACAGGGTTACAGCAGAAGAAAAAAAGAGGGAAAGCCATTTTGCTGCTATGATTGTGTTCCATGTGAAGATGGAAAGATTTCAGATCAGAAGGGTAGGATTAGATATAATTCCAATAGCTTTCATACAGTATATAGCATGTGTTTTATTATGTGAAAGTGGATGTGGATAGTTAACTCATTATGGTCTGGGTTGTGCACTAGTTAAAAAAAAAGAAAGGAAATCAGATGCGAGACATGATACTCACAACTTGATCTTGAAGGTATTTGGGGTATGAGTATTTTTGTGTGTAATTTCATATATAAATTAGAGAAAATGAACTAATTATGCCTTGTAGTGTGCAAAAGTAATTGTTTGAAAAATCCTTCAAATCATTTAGAAAATTATTTATTAAAATATTTTCTTTTTTCAAATAAACAAGTTTGTTTTGGGGAATTTGAAAAAGGAAAAAAAACAGCTTGCATGTGAGAAAGAGTTTGCACTAAAAGGACCCTTCTTTTCCTTCTTTTCCTTCCTTCCTTCATCTCTCTCTCTCTCCCTCCCTCCCTCCCTCCGTCACTCCTTTTCTTTCTGTCAAAGATGAATTATAGATTAAATCACAGAAGTTCACTCAGTTAAATTAATACAACATAAATTATATATACTTAAGAATAGCTTACTATTTTTTTGGTTAGTAACAGTATAATTATTTAATCATTTAGAGAAGTCTCAATGACTCCAAGTGGCTCAAAACATTATAATCAAATTAATAAAACATAAATAATAAAAATGTCAAATGTAATAAAGTGGTGGGCTGTACTTACCTTCATTTAAGGCCTGGGTGAAGTTTCAGGACTTCATGACTCTTCTAAACATAGCTGACTGGGGCCCATCGAATCTCAGGAAGAATTACATTTCCGGATGCTGCTTCCAAAGTCCTAATAGAACCTGGAATTTTTTAATTGAAGAAACCCAGAGTATGCCAATGCTGCAAGACTGAATTGGCCAGGCAGATGTTTTGTAAGAAGGTGGCCATCAAATAATCAACCCCATATGCTATGTAGGGCTTTATATAAGATAAAAAACTGCACTTCAAATTGTACCATGGCTACTACAGCCCATGAAGCAAAAGTGTTATATTGGCATCTCCAATACTGTTTACACCACCTCATTTTGGATCAATTGAAGCTTCCAGGTAGTCTTCAAGAACAATCCTATGTACATCACCTTGCAGACTCCATCCACAAGGTCACTAGGGCATAAGTGAGCATCTTAAGGGCATCCAGTCTAGGAAAGAGGCCAATTGACATAACAGATGAATTTGTCCAAAGTCCTTCCTGGCCACAGCTCACATCTGCTCATCCACAAAGACTCCCATGCCACCTAAGGTAAAAGATAGAATATATCCAGATGTGGGTGGGCCACACACTTGCACCCATTCAGTCTTGTTAAGACTCAGTCAGAAATTAATTTCACATTTTCTTTTTCTAATATCTTATGAGAAATTTGGGCTCACATCCAATTCAGAAATGCCCACATGCTATATTTTCGGTAAGTTTTAGGATAATTTTTAAAAAACAAAATTGGTTAAAGTTGCCTACTTAAGCACATATTTCATGGCAATAATAGGCAAAATGTTTTTTCCTCTAGATATTGACACATCACATATCCTATCTTTCAGATACAGATGATTGTTTCCAATGCCCAGAAGATCAGTATCCAAACAAAAACAAAGATCAATGCCTTCCTAAAAGAATTAACTTCCTCTCTTTCACTGAACCCTTGGGGGTCACATTAATTTTTTTGGCTCTGATGTTATCTGTAATCACAGTTTGGGTGCTTTGGATATTCACAATACATCGGAACACTCCCATTGTCAAAGCCAACAATCGGGATCTAACCTATTATCTCCTTATATCCCTCCTGCTGTGTTTTCACTCCTCATTCTTGTTCATTGGCAAACCACAGACCCTGACCTGCTATTTGCGACAAACCACTTTTTCCATCATTTTTTCGGTAGCTATTTCTTGCATATTGGCCAAAACTGTCACTGTGGTTCTTGCTTTCATGGCCACCAAGCCAGGATCCAAATTGAAAAAATGGGTAGGAAAAAGACTGGCCAACTTTATTCTTCTTGGCTGCTCCCTGATTCAAGCTGGGATTTGTTTTGTATGGTTATGGATATTTCCTCCTTTCCTAAACTTTGACTTTCATGCTTTGGCTGAAGAAATTGTGGTGGAGTGCAACGAAGGATCAGATATCATGTTTTATTGTGTTCTGGGTTACTTGAGTTTTCTAGCCATTGTTAGCTTCACTGTGGCATATTTTGCTAAGAAACTGCCTGACATTTTCAATGAAGCCAAATTTATCACCTTCAGCATGTTGGTATTTTGCAGTGTGTGGTTTTCTTTTATTCCCTCTTACTTGAGCACCAAGGGAAAATACATGGTGGCTGTAGAGGTCTTTTCCATCTTGGCTTCTAGTGCTGGATTATTGGGCTGTATTTTTTTCCCTAAGTGCTATATAATTCTGTTTCAGCCTATATTAAACAGCAAGGATTTGCTCATTAGAAGGAAATAGTATTCATGTATTAGTTCACATTTACTTTTTTATTATTAAACAACAGATTTTTATTCAAAATTCTATAGAAAGCTATCATTCCTGTTTCCTTTTCATTATACTGGTTATATTTATCATGTGTTCCTATCCATTCATTGAATTAATTAATTGAAAAGACTTCTGATGTAGCTTTAAACATTTGGGTTGAATCAAATTTTTGCCAGGAGCTTTATTAACTTTTTGTTGGATAATTAACTTTTAAATTGTTTAAATTTTATTAAAAGTTTATTATTCCAAAAACAAACCTTCTAAAATAATAGTAATTGATTGTCAATTACAAAATAAAATAAAAATAGCTGTCAATTACATAAAGTCATACTTCTTGGATACTCATATATACTACACCAATGCAGGCATCCTAGATCCTGGGAAAAGCTCAGTGTGAATAAAGACCAACACCAAGTAAAGTACTGGCAGCTGTGATTTCATGTTGCTATTTATATTATAATAATAAATATATGATCCCATTCACTCAGTGGATCGAAGACCTGTACATATGCCACTTATAAGTGGATTGTCTACATACTGTATGAAAACTTTGTATGGACAGATATAATAAAATATGGAACTCATTTATTATGCAAAATGCATTAGATGAGAAAAAAACATGCTAGTTATGCACATAAACACACACACACACACGTTTGCATAATATTTGCAGAAGGTGTATATAGAATTGAAACTGTTTACTGTTATATTATACTTTCCTTTTAATTTTTCTATTGTATTTTTGACATTTTTTAAAGCACTTGTGCTTTTTTTCTTTGAATATGTAATTTTATCAACATTATTTTTGCTTTGGTTTTTTTCTGTTATTTTAAAAGCAATAAAAATATATTTTAAAAAACTTAAATTTTGGAAGGAGATAACTATGGTGGATAAAGATAAGCTGAATCTCTTTCAATAAATAGGATACTGAAAGGGAAGAAATGTCATCTTCTCTTCCCAAATAGATTTATTCAGGCTACTTGGAGTAGCAAGAATAAATTTTATATCCTTGCCCACAGATCCATAAATTACTGTGAAAAAAATCCATTGGTTTTTTTTGTTTTTTTTTGCTTCATAAGAGAAAACAATAGAGTGAGTATGTATGGAAATTTGTGAGTTTGTAGCTGGCCTGATCCTAGTGGTTTATCTTGCCAACCTAATAGCTCCCTAGAAGAAAAGGCTTGCCTTTTGGCTTGACCAGATCAGTGAAATTGGGTAGAGGGAATTCTAATATGTATGGTATGTAAAGATTAAGATTAAGATTCCTTAATCTTTTTTTAAGGAAGAAGGGTATGTCCTATATAGTCCAAGAAAGAAGAGCTTTCAGGATGCAAATTATGGGCAATTATGTCCAGAATCTTAACTGTCAGCAAAATTATCTGCATGGCTTCTCTTGCTCTATCTCTCTAGTGCAGGGTTTTTCAATCAGTGGTACGCATACCACTGGTGGTACGTGGTGTCGCCTCCCTCCCCCCCGTGGCATCGCTTTCCTCCCCCCCTCTGCTCCTTCCCAGCTCACTTGTTTGTGGAAAACATGCTGCTTGGCAGCAGCCCACACAAACCCTACCGAACATGCCCTGCAGGAGGGCACGCGAAAAGCGCAGGTGCAGAGGAAGGCCCCGCCCTACCCAGGGACTCATTGTGCAGCAATTGGATTGACTTCTTCTCGTGCATGCAGGTCAGCAGGATCCGTATTGCCCTTCCCCTCCCTCTTCTTACTTTACAACAAGCACTAGCCTGATAGGGGACAGAGCCATCCACACCCTCAGCAGGAAGGGGTTTGAGACCGCAGGGTTTGAGATCGCTCGCGTCACGGCCCTGAGCACCAACATCACAACCGCCCCTCCTTCTTTTTCCCCTTTTCTCTCTCTCTGTTGCGGCCTCACTCTCTTCCATCTTCTTTTCCTTCCCCCCCCCACAAGCTTGCGATACCCCTCACGGCCATCACCTTGCCTCCCGGAGGACTCATCCTGCAGCAGCAGGTGGGAATCGAGGCCCACATTTGTTTTGCTGACATGCGCCAGGCAAAGCCAACAGAATGCAGGTGTGGAGGGAGAAATGTGCAGGCCTGACTCCCTCCCCCCCCACTGTTTTGCAGCATTTAACCCTTCCCCATTTCCACAACTGCCGGCCTGCCTGCCCACCAGTCAGTTTCCCCTTCCGAGCTGGAAGAAGCACATGCCGTTGCCTGTATCGCAGGCTTAAAGTCTGAAGCAGTCTGGGCTCTTGGCTAACTGATCGCCTTTTCCCCCCCATCTTTTCTACAAACCGGGAATTGTGGCTTAGTGGGGGCCTGGAACGGGTCTCAGGATGCCCGTGCGCCCCTTGCATCAACAAGTGAGCGGTCGACTTTAGCCTTTGGGGAACAAAAGCCGGTCGGGGCTGATCTCTTCCTGCTAGGGAAGGCTGGAGAAGCCAGGAGAAAGTCAATTATTAGAGGGGGGGGGGAAGTCACTTCTTCATTTAAGGCAGTTTTGGAAAAGTAACTTTTGCTGGAAAGGAAAGCAGGTTTTTTTTCCTTTTCTTGGATCGCCTTCTTTGCTTGGCCCTCTGTTGCCTTATCGCAGGCTTAAAGTCTGAAACAGCTGGGCTCTTGGCTGACTGATCGCCTTTCTCCCACTCCTCTCATCTTTTCGGGAGATGCGCCTTTGCAGCAGGCTTCCCCTTCTGTTAGTTATCGGAGGTTTCAAAGGCAAGCTGCTCCCGGAGCATAAAAGTAGAGGGTCCAAACGGCGAGAGTGATGCAGGTCTCTGACTCTCTGCTTCAGGCTGAAACAGTCTCAAAGGTGGGGACCGGAGATTACTTCACCTGAAGGAAGGGTGACTTTGACCCAGGGATCAAAGATGTTCAGTCCCTTGATGAAAGTTATTTCAGTTATTTCAAATAACTTTCCCTAGTACTGAGGCCTTTGTAGAAATGGGCAAGTTGAGCCTGCTGAGCCCATCTTTCTCCAAGACTCACTATATAAAAATGGATGGAATATTTTTATCTTCCTGATACTGTCAACATTAACAAAGTGTGCCAATCCTATTAGGAGAGTATAGCTCTTCAAACACATGCAGCATTATCTCTTTTGGGGCTGGATCTTATTAAAATCAAAATATTTTTTCTAAAAATAAAATAATTAGATTTTGCATTGTGAGACAATGTTACATAGGCTTTTATCCTAAGTTAAATATACATTGTCTACTTATTTAAATATATATTTATACAGTCCATAAATTATAGCTATACATCTATAGTTTTAGACATAGTTTATTAATTGCATTATGTTGGCTATATTTTGCAAATATTTTTTTTCATTTGGCTTAACAGTAGTATAATGCTAATCACAGAACTTAAGAACTATAAAGATTCATATTATGTAATAGACAGAAGGAATGACCTTGAGGAACAGGAAGAGGAACCATTACTAAGGCAATGGTCAGATTTAAAAAAACCTGACTCTGGGACTGTAATCTGAGAAAGCATCTCTTTGCGGACCATCCCTAACTCTCATGAAGATAAATGTAGAGTAGGAGGAAGCACACTCAAAAAACACTTGCAGGATTGTGCTACCATAACTTTATAATAAATGTATTATTAGCCTACATGACTTTGGTTTTCTAATCTGGTCAAAGGGCTGACACATTGTTGTTTTAGTAATAATAAAGTTTATTGCTGCTGAAATGTCTGTAATTTTTACATTTCTATGGGTTTTTACCATTTTATGTTGATTAGGGACTGAAATAAGATTCTTATATCACAGAACAGTAATAGCTGTAATGTCTAGGTGTATGGCAATTATAATTAACTGCAATATCTTGACTTTGCTTGCACGGCAGTTTGGCAGTTCGATTCTCACTGGCTCAGGGTTGACTCAGTCTTCCATCCTTCCAAGGTCAGTAAAATGAGGACCCCAGATTGTTGGAGGCAATATGATGACTCTGTAAACCGCTTAGAGAGGGCTGTAAAGCGTGGTGAAGTGGTATATAAGCCTAAATGCTATTGCCATTTGTAAGAACTATTCCTCTGGGGATTAACAGTTGGCCAAAAAAAGTTAAAGATTACAAATGCCTCTATAAAAGTCAGATAACTCTTTGGATTGCTTAAAGAAGATCATAGATTTCACTACATTGAGATTAATGTATTGCCTTTTTTAGGCTCAAGAAATCACAGCTGTTCTTATGTTCCCACATAGACAGAGCTCTGAATATCCAACTTTTCTGCTAAGAACATCTGAATTCTACAACTAATAAAAGTCAGTCAAGAGCACGCAAATGTACACCCAAGTGCACTTTTCATAATGTAGCTCCTAGTTTTAGACTAAAAGGATCAGAAGAGTGACAGCATAGCAGTCAAAAACTTCATTGACACGTATGAAGCTACTTGCTCTAATCTTCAACTTAAAAAAAAAATGAGTAAGAAACAAATATGCTATACATCAAAACTCCAATCATAAATATGTCAGTGATTAAACTAGAGCAGGGGTAGGCAATCTTGGCTCTTTTATGACTCGTGAACCAACTCCCAGAATTCTGGGAATTGAAGTCCACGAGTCATAAAAGAGCCAAGGTTGCCTATACCTGAACTAGAGTTTCTAATGATATCTGCTCTTACACTTCTACTTCTGCACAACATAATTTCTCTCCAAATTTATTTTTTGTATCAGATAATGAACCTCTGGGAATCCTGTTATACATCTTACATGACATGTTACATGATTTACAATTGTATAAATATTATATTATATCTTATACATTTTACATGAATATACATATTTATTATAATCGTTACTTATTATTGCCAAACCAGTTACCCTAGAAAAAGGGATCAGTTACCTAATCAATCCAAAACTGAATTACTAACCTTGCCAGAGCAATGTATTTCATCAACAGTAGAAATAATAAATCCCCCAACACAAACTACAGAAAAGTAAAAACTGTAATATACTCTAAAATAGTTTATTTATTTATTTATTTATTTATTTATTTATTTACTTAATTACTTACTTACTTACTTACTTACTTACTTACTTACTTACTTACTTACTTACTTACTTACTTAACAAATTTATAGATACTGGGTAATTCTAATATACAGTACAGTAAATCCATGTGAAATCTAAAAGGATTATATGGATACAAGTAATCCATATTCATAAGGATTTATATAATGATTTAAGTTATTTTGAATAACTGATTTCATCCTTTGATGTTTAGAATGTCCACTTCAAATGACTATATGTTATTCTATAAAGTATGTTTTATGAAGAAAACATGAATCATACTGCATATATTTCCCAAAAATCTATCTTACATGAAGAAAGACTAAAATACAATAAAATGTTTTAATATAAGAGCAGCTGTAAAACACTTTATGAAATGGGATGAGCTAAAGATCCTAAATAATTATGGATTACAATGAAAAACAGAAATAGTTACTTTTCTTTCCTTATTAAATGTTCCTTCTTGTTCATCTCAGGTCTCAACAGAATGATATAGCATTTGGGACAAAATATACATCCCATTAAACCAGCACTGGAGGATAAGATAGAAAAGATCTCCACAGCTACCATGTATTTCCCTTTGGTGCTCAGATAGGTTGGAACAAATGAAAGCCAAACGCTGCAAAAGACCAACATGCTGAAAGTGATGAACTTGGCCTCGTTGAAACTGCTGGGCAGTTTCCTGGCTTGGAAAGCAATGGTAAAGCTCAAACTAGCCAGAAAGCCCATATAACCCAAGACACAGTAAAACATGATCACCGAAGCTTCATTGCATTCCATTGTGATTTCTCCCTTCAGTGAGTGCAGGTCTGTATCTGGGAAAGGGGGAGAGGTGCTCAGCCAAAGACTGCAAATCCCCACCTGGATGAAAGAACCCAAAAGGACAATAGAATTGGCCAGTCCTTTCCCTACCCATTTCCTCATTCCAGAGCCTGGTTTGGTTGCCATAAATGCCAGAACCACAGTCATGGTTTTTGCCAATATAGATGAAAGGGCCACTGAGAAGATAATGCCAAAAGTTGTTTGCCGTAAAAGACAAGTAATCTTTTCAGGTCTTCCCATGAAGAGGAAGGAGCAGAGGAAGCAGAGAAGAAGGGAAAGGAGGAGGATACAAGTGAGGCTTTGGTTATTGGCTCTAACAATTGGAGTTTCTCGATGCATCCAAAAGACTCCAAGAACAAGGACTGTAAGCAAAGAGAAAACAATAGCCAATGTAATAAAGACGATTCCCAAAGGTTCATTATAAGAGAGATAGGTAAGCACTTTGGGAATACATTGATTTTGCATATTGTTGGGATATTGATTTTTTGAACATTTCATGCAAGCATCCATATCTGGAAAAAGAAAAAAGATATATTTAAAATATACCAAAACTGTTATTAATATAGAATATATAGAGTATGTAGGGCATTATTGATGTTAATATTTATACCCAGGACTTTTTTTCTCATAGAACACCCAGAACGGAGTTCCACCACCTTTTTTGGATGGAACCTTGTAGAGTAGGCAAGGCAGGTTGTATGACATGAGTGATCTCCAGCACTTTTTTTTTTTTAGAAAAAAAGCACTGTTCATACCTGTCATCTATTTTGTCAAGATAGGATGGGAATTTGAGTACAAAAATATACAAGAATCTCATAATTTAAAGATGAGATTTCTCATTATACATAGGGAGGGGTAAGAGTTAACTGAAAATAAGAATTGAAGATAAGTGTATTCTGTCTTATTTGTTATTTTGTAAAATGAGGAGGTTCTTAATAGACTCTTTATAGACGTTAGTACTATTCCAGTTTGGACTAACAATATTTGCAAGTTCAGAGGCATCAAAGTTTGCAGAAATAAATTTTATAATAATTGGCACTAATGGTTTAATAACGATGTTAACATATATAATATATCAGCAGAAGGAACCAGCATTCTTTTAGTTTATATGACTCTCCTGGAGTAGGGAAAGTCCTAGAATTATCCCTCAAAATCTTCCAATACAGCTACAGATCTGCAAGTAGTTTTAGGAGCTGAGCTTCAAAGCAGTTTGTGTGCCAAAAGCTGGAGAGGGATGGGGCTGAAATCAGTTCATGGTTGAAGAAGCAGCTGTTTTGGAATTTATTTTTCAAACAGACAGTAAGTTGTGCCTTTGATTTCTTAATTAGTTTTAAGGACTATTAATCTTTATTAAACTAAAAGAGGGTCTCTAAAATAGGGTCTCTATTATTCCTTTTTAAAAATCTGCATCATTTTGGGGGTTTCTTCTTGTTAAGCAACAAGGAAGAAGCAGTGGTGGGATTCAGCCAGTTTGCACTGGTTCAGCAGAACGGTAACTAAATTTTGATGAGTTTGGAGAAATGGTTGAATGCACACTGCTTCTGGAAACCTATTCTAGGTCTCAGAGGCCTGGAGGAGGCCTCCCAGGCCTAGAACGGCTGATCAGATGTGCGTCAATGCTACATCCAATAAGATAACTGGTTGTTCAGGTATTTGAGTCCCACCACTGGGGAAAAGGCTGCTAAAGCAAGCTAAAAAAATGATGGAGTAATTTAAGGGCAGAAAGTTGTGGTTTTAGTTTACTATTTTTAGTAATTTATAGCTTAGTCTGCCTTGCTGTAGGTGGCTAAAACTAAAACTTTCCTATTTTATGATTCCTGATTGGTCAGCAATTCTTAAGTGGCTTACAGAAAAGCTACTCTTTGACTAAAGAGGGAGTTAAGAAAATGAAGAAGCAAATTATTAGACATGTATTTGAAAACTCTTTAAATAAAATCCATCAGTTCGTAGAATGGCTCTGCTTTAAGGATGTTAAAATGACTATTCAAACTACTTCAGAGATACAAATATGGGTAAAAAGTTACCAAACAACTGAGGCAATTTTACAAGTCGTTGACAATGCAGAGGAGTCAACTGTAATTTTTGAATATAAACCTGACACCAATTTTTATTATGATGGTTTAAATAGAAGCCTCCCAACACAATTGAAAGAAAAACTCCAAGAAAATTTGTAACTTTTAAAAAGACAAGTTTGGGGTTTTTTCCTCATGGATATTAACAAGGTTGGAAATTCCTTGAGAAAAAGAAAAGCATATAACTACTTGGCAAAGATTCCAGAGAAGAAAAAGATTTTATTCCATGAAGATAAGATGGAAGGATTGACTTAAACTTAATGAGTCAATTGGAATTAGGATGATTTTCATTGGTTTCATATTTGTAATTAAGAAAGTCTCAATCTAAAGTTTGAAAATGTATTTTTTTCCCTTTATATATAAAACACTTAAGTAATTCCTAAATTTGTAAAATATTATTGAAAGTGTGTTTCAAAATATGTTAAGAGAAAATTTAAAAAAAAGATATATTAGCTTGAAGAAAAATTTAGACCTTTAAAAAGGATGTATACAAGAAGAAAAAATATTCTGTGATAGTAACTTGGAGAGAGTGATCTAAATTTAATAAGCTAATTGGAGTTAGTTGGAATTTTATTGGTCTGAAAGTGAACTTTAAAGTACGTATGCTAAAAGGACATTTAAAAAATATATTAGAATGCTTTAATTTTAGAAATATTTTTAAAGAAAAGCTTAGTCTTTTAAAATGGATGAAAAAAACCTTTTAAGGTTAAAGAATTTGAAAGAATACAGTGAATTTTGTTAATATAAATGGTGATATTTATAAAGATTATTAAGTGCAATTAGAAATACATATTATTTCAATAGCAAGCAAGATAAAGCAGTAATGGTTAATTTAATTGTTCTATTCAAAGAGGAGAATATATTGATGTTTTTTATTTGGATATCACTTTTAGATTTTGTGCTTGTGATGAAAAAATGAAATTTTGACTTTGGTTTTGCCGATTGGGTAGATTTGTTGTTATAGAAATGGCTAATTATATACTAATGTGTAAAAGTAAAAAGTTGTAATATTGTAATCTTGTATTGTGCTAAAAAAGAGTCAGAAGTTTTCTTTCTTCCCTTATACCTCATATTTTCTTTCCCCTTTTCTTTGCCCTTAATTTCTATTGTTATTTTTATTTTTTGTATTTTGTACATTGATAAAACAATAAAAGTTATATATAAAGAAATTTTAATTATATATACAGATGCATGAGAAGCAGATAGATACATAAGAAAGCTGAAGACAGAGAGGAGCGATTATCATGTGGGATTGTTTTGTTTTGTTTTTTGCTGTATTTAAATACAGGCCATGAGCTGGATATTCACAGGTCAATTAGCCAAAGTCCTAACCTTTTTTTGTCCCACCTTTTTTGTCAGAGATCTGCCCTTCTGGACAAGGTGCACAATCATAGCAGCAAAATTTCTCTTCTTCCTTCTTCTTTCTGCTGGAGCCTGGATCACAGTGGTCATTACAAAGAGAGACAGGCAGCATCTTAAGATATATGAGGAATAAAATGATAAAATACCTGCATCAATAGAGCTTTCCCAAACAAGAAACCCACACCTATGATGATGAAGAAAAAGAAAATGTAAAATTGAATATTTGAATTAATGGGGAGGAGTTGGCAAAAAGTTTTGTTTTCACAGGATTTGAACATTTTATATTGCTCCTAATGCTATTTCTAAATATGAGAAAATGTCATAAATGTCAAGATTCTGTTTGGGCTAGAATATTCCAATAGGTTGCATGAATTGGGTACTACAGGTTGTCGTTGACTTATGACCAGTCACTGAAGTCATGGGTCATAGCACTATGTGACCAGATTTCATTTTACAACTGGTTTTACAATGGTTGTAACATGAGTCACCATAGTTTTAAAACAAATGGCATAGTTCATAATTGACACACATGGTCAATAAGCAAATAAATTGTGCCAAATGTGTAATTAGTAAAAAAAAAAAAAAAAAAGGCTGGAAATCGTGGTCATGAGACTTTTACTCACTGCAACTGATTGTAAAAATAATGGTTTGCCAAATGCCTGATCATATGACTGCAGCAGAGCTAGCAGTTGTAACTTTGAGGATGGATCACAAGTAACTTTTTTCAATCTGTTTTAATTTCAATAAAATAAAATGACTAATCATAAGTCAATAACTACCTGTACCTAAGTTGACAATCTTTGTTTCCCAGGAACAAATGGAAGCATTTGCCATAAATCTGCCACAGACACAGCAGTGTTCAATTGCATATATAGAAAATGTTATACCTCATCAGCTTGAAAAGCCCCAAAACACAAAGACACAATTTTCTTCAATTAGTGCCATGTATTTGACAATTGCTCCAAAGAGAGATTTACTTTTGCTATTAGTTGAGAATCTGTGCTTCTTCTCACCTGGTTAAAGCTTCTGTGCCATACAATTTGATTGTCACTGAGAGTTAATTCTCTGCCTGGTAGAGCCCGAGGTGCCAATGTTCCAACCTTGACTCGAGAAAAGGAATTATTGGGCAAAATAATCCAGTTTACAACATAAAAGTCTGTAATCAATTCTCTGTTTCCATCAAAACTGATAGTGTCTCCCATCGTATTGTTGAATACAATGCTTTTCAAGACAGAATGAAACTGTATTATATGAAAAAGAAAGCAAGAGCAAGAATTTGAAATCGCAACTACTTTTCAAACTGGACTATCCTGCTTTGAAAAATGCAAATGAGGATTTAAGGTGTCATAGGTGAATTTGTATTTTTGTGTGTGCATGTATTTGCATATTGCAGGTGTGCATATTTGAGTCAGTGTTGATTCTTGATGACTGCATGGAAATGTCCTGCGGGTACTGCAATTTTCTTAGCAAGATTTCAGAGATTTCTAACTGCCTCCTTTTTAGGGCTGAGAGAGAATAATTGGCTGGCTTTGAGCCTTGACAGCTATACCAAGTGGGCCCTACACCAAAATTAAATCACAATTTTAACAAATTCCTCCATATCTTTCAAAATAAACAGAGATCTTTGGAAAAACACAAAGGACTGTGATCACAATGAATTCTGTAGAATAAGTGACCACTTTCTCTTACTATAAAGGGAAGCTTTTAAATCAATGCTTGCATTTTTTTTTCCTACTATTGTTCTTCATCGAATTACTAACTGAAAACTTTTCCTATCATGGAACAGGAAGTGTTCCATTCTACAGCATTCATTGGGACAACAGTATTCTGAAATAATGACACTCATTCCCAGTAACATTACTAGGGATCAAGGAAACACGATGGCCCAATTACATACACAACATTTGTGTATTTGAAAGAAAATAAAGTACCTGCCATGGTTTTAAATTATGAAATATTAATTGCTCTCTTCCCATTAAATGTCTATATCTGGACCTGGACTTTAATAAAACATGCAAAGAATGAGCCACAATATAGACTGCATTGTAAATGTTGTAACTGTGACCACTCATGTTCATATCAAAGAATGTAGTTGGCAAGCTCTCTAACTTTTCATCCCCAGTGCACAATAACTTGTTATCTTCATTTATACTGGAAATGTGTAATGGGCAGCCAAATGCCTGTTCCCAAAAATTCTGAATGAAATTATCTTCTTTTGCCCAGGATGGCCTTACAGTCTGAAGAAATTCTTGGAATCCAGGTGGCTCTTTTGAGGGAACTGTGAATGAAAGGGCACCATGGAAACTCTGCATATCCCAAAGTCTTTGAAATGGCAGTGATCCAAAATTCCAATGGGATGTAACAATCCACACTTTACCCAAAGGCGGCCATGAAAAAAAAGATGCTAAAAGGATGATAATTCTCAGATTTTGCATGGATGGTGGTGCTCCATAGATTAAACACACTTTTACTTTATCATCGATAAAGAGTTGATCATATCTTAACTGCACTGAAATCAGCTGTGTATATTCATCCATATATGCTTTCTTTGGTGTTCTAAGCATGAAAGCATAACAAATGTTATTTTGGAAAAGCAATGGTCCAATTCTCTGCAAAAACATATCTCCATAGTCATCATCCACAGCTATGATCCCAATCCAAATCCATCCAAAATGCTGAAGTAATTGAATAATACCAGTGTACTGATGGATTTCATTTGGGACCATTTGGTACAAGATTGAAAATATATCTTTGTCACCATGTACTGGGGAAAATGTTCCATAGACAAGCTGAAAAGCAATATACAGCAAATAATCAGAACCATTACATACAAATATGAAATGGGTTAATCTTCATTATAGTTAAGGCAGAAAGTTGGCACTAAGGAAATTGCTGGAAATTATTCAGACAATTCATATATCTGCAACATTTCTTCGGCTAAAAGTGTTGCTTATGTGTTTCTGAACCCATTTTAACTGAATGTGAAAACACCTAAAACATAACACAAGATCAAAAACCAGGCTTTTGGTCTTAGGGTATATCAAGTTTGATCACCTGAAGGCAAGCAGCATGCAGCAGAGACAGAATATTTTCTGTAGTGGCCCAACTACTTTTGAAACTCAATGCCACTCAAGCAGGAAGTAGAAGAGATTCTTTTCTGTAGTGGCATCACCAGGTGTTTGCCAATCTATTCCTCGAATATTTGGAGAAAATTACATTTATAAATGTTTATAAATATCATTTATAAATGTTTAGTTATCCCTCCAGCTTATTCGTATTAATCATAACTGAATGTAAAATACAGTGTTCTTCCAGATTCTCCCCAGTGAATGTCAACTCTGAAAATTATTCTAAAGGCACTTTAAGAATTCAAGGATTTAAAAAAATATGGAATTTCTAGAAAGCCATGTTAAGGGCCTACCTGTGGAATCTTGTAATTGACAAGAACAGTGGCCATAATGGAGGAGGCCACAGTCAAACGTCCACCAAAGGCAACAATAAATGTTTTTGTTAAATCACAAGAAAAGTTTGGAAGAAACTTCTGCTTTGGAGAAACTAAGCTCAGAATTGCCTTATAGGTTATCCTCTCAATAAAGTAGTTGTTCACAATGTGGAAACCCAAAGTGATGTTTGGTAAGAGCTCAGGGTTCCTATTGATCTCCTTGACAGCAAACACCAAAGCAAGGATATGCTGATATGATTTAAGTTCATAACTGAAAAATATAAAAAGGAAAAAAGAGAAAGAAGAAAAGAGAAAATCTATCTACTTAATGAAATAACATAAAAAGTGTCCACCAACCTACTTCTGTTTTCATGTTCTAAAAGCTATAAAGTTGTAGGCCATTAAATTCAAGGAAGATCATAGACCAGTTTTACTATTTACTAAGAGGAAGCCATCTCAGGCTGCAGTTCCTAGAAACCAGTAGAAAGAGGTGGAGGAAACTTTGAAACATGCAATGTTCTTCATCCTTCTTCAAAAGGATTGCTATGTTTGACCCATTGCTAGTTTCCAAGAAAAGCTCAATGTCTGCTGGGATATATGTTGGAAAGGACTGGGAGAAAGAAAAACTTCTCATTCCCTTAGACAACTAAATAATTTGGCCCAATGCAAAGAGAAGGAAATATTTTTATCACCTTTTTTTCGAAAAAAAAAACCCAGGTTATATCTCAATGATAGTGTGGTTTGAATCTATTTCCAAAAGCTACTTTTTTATATAATATGTGAACTAATTATTGAATCTCTATTTCCTGGCTCAGACAATATTAAGTATTTGACAGTAATTTAGTTTACTCATTGTTGTGAATGCAAACAACTTCACACATTGTTGTGAATACAAATCATAACGATGATTTACTCAGCCAGAAATAATTGACCAACAAATTATCCTAAACTACTAAACATGGTTTATGGATCACAAAGGCTGCATTCAGAAACTATCAAAGTGAAAATCAGAATATGGAATAAAGAATAATGGAGTTGGAAGGAAACGTCTAGTACAACCCCTTGGTGATATACCATTCTGGACAAATGATGGTCCAATCTCTTCTTAAAAACTTCCACTTATGAGGCATCCACAATATCTGGAATGAAGCCATTCCACTGATTAATAGTTCTCACTGTCAGCTAATTTATCCTTAGTTCTCCCCATGAAAACTTTCCATCTTTTACTTCTTGTATTTCCCTCAGGTGCTTTGGAGAATAGTTTGAACCCCTATTCTGTGTGACAGCTCCTCAAATATTGGAAGACTGTTTTCATGTTATCCCTAGTCTTTAGACATATCCAGTTTCTGCAATTGTTCATCATATGTTTTAGCCTCAAACCCCCTAATCATTTTTGATCCTCTGTTCTGTACTCAATTTAGAAGAATTCAGAATAATTGTAATTGATTTGGTACAATATTTGAAGCCACATGGACTTTTCTACTTAACAGACAACTTCTTACATATCAAAGAGAGAGAAAATTAATTAGCAGAAAATTCCTAATGACATTATAATTATAAACATTTTTAAAAGCCTATCACTTTATAATCCTATTGCTTAACTCTTTTTCCTCAATCATTTTCCCCAATTCCCACTAGTTGGAAGAAAAAAGAAGAATATAATTCCTTACATCACTTCATTGATCAACATCTGGGAGGGTTCTTCTCTGAAGGAAGGGCTATTGTAGAAGAAGAAAGCTTGAGAGAGAATTGCACCAATGATAACATCTCCTGGCTGAGCAAAGTGATGGGGTATAGGAAATGGGTCATCAGGCACGGTACAATTCAAAGCATACAATTTGCATGTAATAAAGAACAGGAACAAAAGAAGCATCATTATTGTCATGCCTATCCTATTATTGAAATTTTCCATCCTAAGAAAGAGACATGTTCCTATACAGAAAAATACTCCATCTTGGCACCATTACACTCCATGATATCATTTTTCATTATCCTTATATAGAAGACCTCTAAAATGGTTGCCACAAAACAGGAATAGTCAAACAGATTCCCTTTATTTTAAAAATTATCTTTGCTTCCTGCTCTTTTCAATTATTTAATGCATCATGAACTAAAGTCATTTTTTTTTTTAAAAAAAGAGTTTTATATTTGAGAAGCTACTTTCAGAGTTTAATTTCTTTTCTTTTTTGGGGAAGAAAAGAAATTCGGATGATTTTCTTCATTTTAGTAAAATTCTGTATGTACAACCACATCTTACAGGCAATAGAGCTTCCATTAGTTCATTTCTGTTCCATGATCTCTCCATATATAAAGGGTTTTTTTTTCTAAAGAGGTCTAAGGAATCAGTACAGAGGAACAGAATTTTTCAGAGTGGGATAATAATCCTTACAAAGTACATCCTCCCATTTATGAAGATTAGAATAAGAAAATTGAAAGAGTGGAGAAAAAAACAAAAAAAGTATAGAACTACTGGAGCTTCAGAAACAAGATAGCTTGGAATACCATATGGGGATCAAAATAGAAAGGCTTGAATAGATAGCTCTCTATACATAGTACAACAAATGATATTCTGAAGACAGGAAAAAGCACTCCTATTATTAGTCTGACTTTCTGAAAATTGAGTATAATATCATTAGTAATGTTAAAGAAGGAACATGTAATTTTCACAACAATTCAGAAAATAAGTTGTTTTCAACTTTCAGTATTATGCACATTTCTCCTGAGAAATGGATTAGACCTGGGTATTTAAGGACTATAATTTCCTTTAATTTTTGATGCCATAAAAGTGCATCACCATTTGTTACATCACATTTCCTGAGAAATATACAAGTCTGCTTTCAGGCACAATAAAGAGATAATATACAATTAATATTTCTTATAGTGGTACTAGATATTTTACCTTCTTCCTACTCTTAATATCTCTTTTCTTTATCAATTATATTTGGTTTTCTATTGCCATATTTTTTATTAACAGCCTTGTGTTTTTTAATTAATGTTGAAATCTTTCTATTTGGCCATTAATGTTCTAACTGCCTTTAAAGAATATTTCAGAACCAGAACCAAGTCTGCAAAAGTGTTTAACTCTATTTTAAGCTTTACTCCCACAACCCTCTCATCTTAATTTATATTTCTGTTCAGTATTTCAAGAAACAAAATAAACAAGAGAGGAGATGGTGGGCATCCCTATCTTGCTTCTTTTGTAACATACAGTGTTTTCTTAGATCTCCAACATTAACAATGTTTTGTGCTTTTTGTGAAAAAAAATCTTGAAAAATAAGTTGTCAAAGGCCTCTGAGAATATCAATGAAGCCTATTTTTTCATTATTTTGCTGCAGTATTATAGCATTGTCCTTTAAATATCTCTTAGGTAAAAATTCACATTGATCCTCAGAAATAAATTCTAGCAAAATCACGTTCAGTCTATCAACTACAATCATTGTGAACATCTTGTAATCCTAAAGGCCTTGTCAAAGGCCTTCTGTGCATCTAATAAAACAAAAACAGCCAGTTTTTCATTATGTAGCTCCTGTATTGCAAAATATCCAGTACAATTTTAGCACTGTCCTTAAAGTGTCTTTTATCCAGAAATCTTCATTATCCTCATGAATAAATTCTTGCAAAATTATTTCCAGTCTATTAACTGGACTCAATTTTGAACAATTTGCAATCATCATTCAATAATGAAATCACCCTGAAATTTCTTCCTAAAGTCAAATCTTCTACCTCTTTTGGTATTGGGCCTGAGAATATGTTTCTGTTGTTGATGAGTTATATCTTGGTTTGCAAATAAATGTGAGGAGGTTTTTTTCTCTTTTGAAGAGCATTTGTTCCATTTATATTTCACTTTAAGCATTTGTTATGCATAATCAAACCAAAGATTAGAAAAATCAATTCCTCCAGCACCCAGTTCAGTCAACCCTTTCATTTTCCTATTTCACATCTGGAATTTTCATGTAATTTCCTCTGACACTTCCATCTGAATCTCCACCAACTTGTATTTGAATTCTCTAAAAACTCCCATGCATTCTGGACAGAATTCAATTAAAATTTCTGCTGTTTAAAAGTAAAAATCACATCTTCCAATTTGTCCCATCAGATATTTTTATGCTGTAATCCATCAATCAAAAAAGAATACTATTTTCACTTCTGATCAGAGGAAAATGTCAGAGTGACATTTGTGCAGAGTTGTCTCTAAATCAATGCCCATTTGGTTAGGCTCAGTGGAATTCTAAACCTAAAATGCTCCCCTGACCTTTAGGGGCATTCTAGGAATTGTGTGATTTGTCACAGCAAGCACTGGCAAAATAAAAAATCACAAAAATTCTTTTGCAATAAGTGAGAGACAGGGAAAACACTTTGTGTGATGCTGTGGTGTAGACTGAATGGGTCAATTAGCTTCGTCATTTTTTAAACACTTATCTGTCTTTTTTTTGTTTCATATTTTTTCATTATATGAAAGAGGCTCCTTTCTGATAGGGCATACTTTATCCCTCCTGGTGATTTTCAACATTTCAAGATTTATTATTTTTATTGGAATTTTTTTGGAAGATGAATTGGACTTTTTAAAGCAAAGAAAACAAATTTTATATGTTTTATATATTTGGTGAAACAAATGAATTTATGAAACTTGATCTTTTTTGCCTAATTTCCCCATGAGAATGTTTTTCCTGCTTATCTATCTCTTTATGGATTGGATTGGAACTATGACAATTTGTGATTCAATACATTTGTTTTAATTAGTTTATTTTTGTTAACAATCTATTGGAAATTGGTTTTTGGTCACTAGAGGGAGAAAATTTTCATTGCAATTATTATTGAAATCTGACCTCAAAAACTAGAACAAAATAAGTAGTCCTTGAGATTCAATGGTAATGAAGCCTGGATGCAGGGCACAACAATCATTGTGTAAGCATCTCACCTAATGACCACCTTGTTCCTGCACTGCCCAATAAATTGTTAAATGCACACATGCATTGTTTATAGCAATAGCAATACCACTTAGGCTTATGTACTGCTTCACGGTGCTTTACTGTTCTCTCTCTAAGTGGCTTACACTCAGCATATTGCCCCCAACAATCTGGATCCTCATTTTACTGATCTCAAAAGGATGGAAGGCTGAGTCAACCTCAAGTTGTTCGAAACTGCTGGCGATTGGCAGAATTAGTCTGCAATACTGTATTCTAACCATTCGGCCAGTATGATATAGCAGAGCATGGCATACTGCAGAGAACAGGAAGGACCTTGGAGACCTTGCATATGCCCAGGCTTGTCTGTCCTGCCCCTCCCAAGTCTCCCCCACCCCCTGAAATGCCTTATGCAACACTTCCTGCCCCTTGAGTTCTCACAGAGTTTTTTCCAATTCCCTCAGGTATTAGATCTGATTCTCATCTCACGAAACCAAAAACCCTCCTTTCATTTACCATGGCCTTTCAGACGACTGAAATAGATTGCCTCTTTTCATGGCAGGATTGGGCAATTCCAGAATGTTGTCATTGTATCATGGTAAGCATGGGAATGCTACAGTTTCTGGGCATTTCATTATGGTTATCTGCTACACATTCTGAAAATGGTGATCCCAAGGGTGTTCTTTTGATTTGTTGGTATATTTGTGTGTAGGGGTAACATGCACGTGCAGCATACTGCCGTGCTTTGCACCCCCACAAATCTCATAATTCTATACTCTTTTGCTCCTATGCCTTTGCTCCAGTGAAGCAGCCAAAAGGTCATGGAACACCCCTTGACCTAATGCCTCACGTACCAAAACAGATAATATGCTTAGTTCCTTCTTCTATCTTCCTGTCTTTGATCTTCCTGTCTTTGTTCCTTATCTAGTTGTTGACCATATAATATGTAACTAGAAAATAGTTGGTAAGATGAAAGAATTTTCCAATGAATAAACTGTTGTCAGCATCTAATGATTAAGAAAGCTTGTGTATGTAAAAAGAATATAAAAGCAATAAACAAGACAGAGGTTGTCAGCAGCTTCAGCTTCTGCTCAAAACGTGTCTGTGACTGTTTCTTAGTGTCTTACATTTGTGCATCAGACTGAAAGTATGGTATGTGATAAGGCAAAGGTTGATGAGGTCCATGATTCTGAATATTTACATGTTAGTATACTTGGTTAGGTCAGGTCTGTGATATACTAGTACTGCCATATTGCACAATACAGCACTGATGATGTTACCTAGGTGGTTAATGAATCATCTGTAAGAAAATAACCAAGCTCAGAGACCACCAAGGATTTTACAGTTCAATCCTAAACTACAAATATTCTGTTCTATTAATAATAGATTTAATCCCTTGGGTCAAAACCTCCACCACCACATACTTACCAAGTTCATCAGACAATAACAAACATGATTGCAAATGTGGTTTTATGTTCAGGACTATCCCGTTTTTAAATTTGCTGATACAAATTCTACATCTAAATCTTTATTTATCTGATATTTAAATCCCTTTTCCTAACATTAGTTCTGGATCACATCACAATTTTTTTTTCAAATAATGAAGTCTTTTTACAGTTTAATGGGGTATTAGCCCCATTGATATTCCAAGTTATGAATTTGTGAATCATATTCATTCAAAGAGTCTCTCAAATTCTTTAGCTGCAACTCTGATCTTCACAGCCTTAGCCAGTCCAGATTCCCGTTGAGATTGACATTCACTTTGTTCTAAATAATAATAATAATAACAACAACAACAACTCAGGACATGGCTATCAAACATCAAAAACATCTGCCAGACTATCCCACCTCCTTTACATGGATGATCTGAAGCTGTATGGAAAAACATCATCTGAAATAGAATCGCTGCTCAACACTGTCCGTATATATAGCCAAGATATTGCAATGGAGTTTGACTTGGACAAATGTGCCACACTTACTA